ATTTCCGCTGCCGGGCTTCGAACCCATATCATTTACTTTATTAATAATTCATTGAGAAGATGCTTTAGCCAGATTGCTACAGCGGATCTTTTGCCTTATTATTAATTGTAAATATATATATTTATATGTTTAAGGGATTTTGTTAATCGGTTCGGTTTGGTATGGTTTGGTTGAAATAGCAAAACTCAACTGAATTTTGGATTTTACGGTTTGAATAGTTTTTATATTCGAGCAAATAGCAAAGTAGTGAAACTTCCTGTCTAAAACATGGTGCAGCTGCTACATGTCCTTATGAATCTCTAAATCGACACATCCAATTTGAAAAGTTTTAAATGTATATCAGATTAGATACAACAATATATGTAAATAGTATATAGATAGACAGTTCGATCTACTTATCCACCAGATGAAACTTTGTCATGCATTTACCAATATTAAAGTGTGAGAATAAATATCAAAGGACCCTAAGATTCTACCATAACCACTTAGATTTTGCAGGTTTACGGTCATAGCGTCTCCGAGAACACAAAGGGCCTACATCTTTTATTCATTTGCACATGTCTTTGAATCTAAATAAATTTATACCAACAAGATCATGTCTTCTCACCAAAGGTTTTAATTTGATGTGCATACATAATTGATTACTAACTTTGTGACCCTTTATGACCATAGAGAAGCAAGATAGAAACATGTGCTCTGTTTGGTTTGGTTGCTCTAAGTTTGAGATGACTCTACAAACTTTGATTTTGTGTCTTGAGATTTTTATAAAAGTTGTTTCAATTAGTTAGCAAAAGGCTTCACTTTCGTTGCTTTGCATATTCCCAATGAAAATTCCACTCTATATCTTCTCTGGAAGTTGCAATTTCAAATCAAAACAAGAAACAAATCTTGAGACTTTTCCATTGGGAATATGCAAGAACATTAAAGAACCTACAAGTTCTACATCTTCCATTCAGTTGAACATGTCGTTGTATCTAAATATTGATGCAAATACTTTCAAACAATATCAATATCCACATGGTTATGTCTTCTCACTAGATGTTTTAATCCACAAGTTGATTAGCATATATCTGATTGATTACTACTAACCTGGGACCCTTATGATCATAGACAAGAAATATAGAAGCATGTGTTTATGCTGGTTTGGTTGCTCTAAGTTTTTGTCGAAAGCTTAATCTAAAATAGTTTCTCAT